GCTGGGGTAGAGTTAATTTTCTTCATAGTAACTAGTATGGGGCTGTGTTTTGGATTTGTGCTGGAAACAGCCTTGATAACACAGGGGTGTTTTAGTTACTGCTGAGCAGTGCTGACACAGTGTCAAGGCCTTTTCTGCTCCTCACACCACCCCACCAGCTGGGGGTGCACAAGAAGTTGGGAGGGGACACAGTCGGGACAGCTGACCTCAACTGACCAAAGGGATATTCCACACCATATGACATCATGCTCAGCATATAAAGCTGGGGGAAGAAGCCGCTGCTCGGGGACTGGCTGGGCATCCGTCGGCGGGTGGTGAGCAATTGTTTTCATTTGCATCACTTGTCTTTCTTGGGTTTTATTTCTCTCTCTCTGTTATTTTCCTTTTCATTAAGATTTATTATTGTTATTACTATCATTATTTTATATTCTTTCAATTATTAAACTATTCTTATCTCAACCCATGAGTTTTCTCACTTTTACCCTTCCAATTCTCTTCTCCCCATCCTGCTGGGCAGGGGGAGTGAGTGAGCGGCTGTGTGGTGCTCAGTTGCTGGCTGGGGTTAAACCACTACACTGTCATTTAATTTATTTTCATTTCTGTAGCTGTAGTTCTTTTTTACTTTTGCAAGAAGGATCTCTTAAAACCTGACTTCAATCCTTAGTGGGAATAATAGCTTGCAACAAGGATTTCCTTAGGCTAATTGCATGAATTGCTAATTAGTTTTAAGTCATTGCCTTTCGCCTTTCACTTTGTGAGGAACCTTGTTTCCTTGTGTCATGAAGAGAACGTGGTACGTGAAATCATACAGGGTGAGCCCACGGTTTTGAATTAAATTTCCTCTCTAAATCACCCCAGCAAACACAGCTATATGTTGGTATCTGACCATTCAAAGGCAGCTGGATGTGATCCTGGCCAGACACCACTTCTGTTACCTCCAGGAGTTTGCACGGTTTGCAGATGGGAAATGTACTCGGAAAATGGACTTGCAATAGCTTGGTCTTTGAATTTAAGAAGAGAGAATTTACTTTCTCTCTCTATAATACCTGTGTACATGTCCTCCTCCCAATCTTTCCTAGTTCTCCCAGCATTTCTTATTCAAGATTCTTTCTATGCCTTTACCAAAATCTACTACTATTCTTTTTATACTGGACAACCTTCTTTCTAACATGCACCTCTAAATTTATTGGATGCACAGTCTGTAACAGGAGATTTAAATTCTTAATCCCCCTCTAGAACATCCTTAATCTAGTTTGTACTCATGCACTCAGATATTGTTATCTTATAAAGTATCTAACATCCTCTCTTCTTTGACACTGGCATAAAAATACCATGAACTCTCTCAAGATCTTGACATCAGTAGGTTTAGGTTTTTCCCCTCTTTTTTTAATCTGCCTGCTAGATTGCTCCTCCCCAGATTGTCTAATGTGCTAAAGCCACAACACCTTTTTCTGTCTTCAAAGGAGAGGGGTTTGTGCCTGCTTTCAATTCCAATTCTATCATTAACCTTTTCAGCTGCACTTATAAAATACTCCCTTTCAAATTCAAAATATGATTTCAAATCCCATCTTTTAATTATTCAGTCATAGATTTATCTCTTTCCTTGATTGCTTTTGGTCAGCTTTTGCCCAATGAAATCCCATCCATCAGCTGAAATGCAACATGGTCAGAAATGATCCAAGTTACATGGAATACATACAGTCATTTTTAATCCTAGGCTTCAGTAAAACATTCAATGCTCTGTTCATGTTTCCTTGCAAGCTTAAGCACTAATTGTAGAAGCTAATTAAGCTCTCCACAGTAATACATATGTCTACCTGTCACCACAGTGAAGTTACTGTGGATTAAAGAAATAAGCCTATGTGAGTCTGAATGATGTAAGATAATATAACTTTTGAAACCTGTCTCAAATTTGTGCACTTGCATATCTTAAACGAATCCCTCTCAGTTTCCTCAAAATTTTCTGTTGAAGACTATATTAACTGATGCTTCATCAGCTCTAAACACTGCCAGCTCCCTTTACAGTCCTTTTTGCTAATTTGTAAAAGATATATACTGTATATAGCAGATGTCAACTCTTGGCTCTTACAGCAGAAAACAAGCATGTATTGAAAACCAGGCTATATATAATGATTTCAAACCTACAGCACTTCAACTTTTGCCAAGGTTATGCAATTAAAAACTTCATTACTTAAATACCTGCAGAGATCAGCCTAGCAAAGATGATGATATCAGCCTCACTAAAATTGCTAACTCTTTGTGTCCCACAGGGGAAGGTGTCAGTGAAACTTAAAAATACAAGGAGACGTTTTATTCCACATCACTGTGAAATCAAAGCATCAAGAGCTTACAGAATGCAGCTCGCCAAGCATTTGGGCTTGACTTGATATAGGACCACTGAAAAAAAAAGAAGCATAGCAACATTTACTGGGAAGCTCACCTTTTAAAATAAAGCAAACCAGTATTTTCTTGCTCAAGCTCCAGTAATAAGAAAAGTAAGATATCAAAACCTACCTAAATGTGAAATACAGTGAATAAATTAAACCAATTCATTACTCGCTCTTCAGAAAAATATCTTCATATCTAACTTTTAGAAACAAGCTCTGGGTTAACTTAATAGTCACTAAACTACAGCCACAACATGAAACACAATTTAATATCTAAAACTTAGGTTCAGTTTTCAGAGGAAGTTTACTCAAGCTTCTGACTCTCCATCCACCAAAGTACTAGCCTCTCAAACCCATCCTGTGTTCTGATGCCCTGATGACCTTCATCTGCTTTATTTATTATCAATAGCACTACAGATTCTGGGAACAGACCATTGCATTTATGCTGCGAATTCAACAGGAAAGAATTGCATTAATTTTCCTATCACTAGGCTAGCTCCATGCTCCTATGAGGAATAAAGCTGTATAAATGAAGCTATATCACTAACATAAACATATATGATTTCATAGAAGCCTAGCAACCAGCTCTCTCTCAAAACAAAATGCCATTTTTCAAAAACATTCTTCTGACCATGGTTTACAAATAACGGATGGGCCTGAGCCAGACAAACACAAGCCCTTGCAAAGTTCCTGGCTTCTCATATGCCAAGTTCGGCTTCCATAACATCATTACCTATTCACAAGTAGTTCCATACATTCACTCAGTCATACCCAGACTAGTTCAGTATCACACTGGCACTGCATAGAAAAAGCACAAAACACATAGCTTTATAATTCTATGTAGTCTATACAAATATATCCATTAATAGAAATCTAAATACTACTCACCACGTGAAGAATTTTATTCTCTGTTTCATATACTGTGCAATCCTGAAAAAGTAAAGAAGAAAAGGCAGGTTAAATTGATCCAGTCATTCACCCTTCCTAGATTTATCCTTAAAAAGAATTAAACTGAATTGAAAAGTCTTTAGGATGAAACAAAAGATTTCAAGTCTCAAAAAGAACGGAAAGATTCACGTAACCAAAGTGTGACGCCACCACAGAAAGGTAATACTAGTAAATGTTTGTATCTATTCACTAGTTCTTGTTGCTTCCTTCCTTGAGACAGATAACGATCTTCCTTCACTTTATATTCTTTCGGCCCATACCAGCTAGTCACATGTATGCCAGACAAGTGGCTTCAACCAGCAGTTCCTGACCATGGACAAAAATGACCCACTTCTAGTGGTAACACTGAAAAACAGAGGTACCAGCAAGAGTCTTAAGTAACTAAGAAAGAAAACTAAGCTGAAAAAGTC